AACAAAAATATTAATACTTTTCATAGTTTAACTCTTCATGTATTTGTTTTTATTTGGTTGTCTTGTTTTTGAGACTGGGTGGAGCTTCTAGACTTGTGGGCGGGGCCAGCATTAATCAACAGGCACTGCTGGTTTCAGCCTTAAAGGAACGTGTTAGAAGCAGATCAGGCTTCACGTGTTCACTGAGGTCCATGATTCAGACTGAAACAGTACCGTCGTGTTCTCACCTGCAGAGCTGCACCTCCTGCCTGCAGACCCACCGAAGCTCTGAGGATGGGAGCAGAGCTGCTGGAGGCCGGATCTAGGTGAGTCCACCTGTCGAGGTCCACCCGGGTGCTGTCATGTGATGCTCGTCGGTCCTCGCTGTGACTTCTCTCTGTCCCTCCAGACGTCAGATGGTGCTCTGAAGAAGCCATGGGTAGCTGTCTAAGCTGTCCAGAGAAAGAGTCAGTTCCAGATAATCATCAGAGTAAATTCAAGGTGAGTTCCTGCCTCTACCTGCCCGCCTGCCTCGCCCACACCCTCCCTGACTAATGGTTTCTCACAGGAGCCGTCAGTCAAACGGCCACAAACACACAGAGACACGACGGCGTCTCGGGTCCAGCTTTAAGCTCTTCTGGGTTTTGATCTAAAACTGGAAGTTTTCATTGATGAACCTGAAAAACCAGATTACAGAAACTTTGATTCAGCTTCATTTAATCCTGCTCTGTTCACATCGACTCTTCTGGCTGTCAGACAGCAGGTCTTACTCTGCGTTATCTGAACAAAACAAGGAAATAAAAACCCAAAGTTTGAGACAAGAGACGAAATTATTGAGTTTTCTGCAGTAAAGTAACTCCAGGAACACTTAGTTATAAGCTAAATCAGTTTGTTTACGATGGTCCTGTGAAGTGAAATGTTTTTTCTATAAATCAGAGCATTTATAAACATTTAACTAATTTAAACTTGAATGTAAAATAGAAACTTTGCCATTAGGGGTGTAACCAGATCAAAACGTCGGGAGTTTTTTTTACCCTCAGATGTTAAAAGAAGAACAAAAGTCCAGCCTAGTAATGATAAATGCATGCAGCAGTTTTTCTGCAGCAGTTTGGGACGACGTGTTTCTGATTTTATTTTAGTGATTTATTCAGGTGGAAGAAAGCAGTCCTGGTAGTTAAAAACTAACATGAAAAAAAATATCCTCATAGTTCTTTGTCACGTTGATCTGAAGAAACGATAAAATAAGAGTTCAGCAGATAGTGACAAAAACCATTTTAGTAAAAAGCGTGTGTGTGTGTGTGTGTGTGTGTGTGTGTGTGTGTATATATATATATATACACAATATATATA